ACAGACATCGGGCGAACAATGGTCCCGGAATGATTAGGCATGATTCACTTTGATAACTTGTGACGGGCTAATACTTGGATGAAAATGCAACCCATCAAAGTGCAAAAGATTTTAACAGTTCTATCCAGGGTTTCTCGTTCAATCTGGATAGCCAGAAGGATAGCGACCGGATTTATCACTAGGGTTAGTTACTGTGTAGTTCAGAACCACCGTCTTTTAGCTATAATTTCAACTTGAGAAGATTGATCTTTCTGGATCACAACGCTGAGTCACATTTCTCCCGCTTGTGTTACCGTACAAACCACAACAAGGAATAGTTTCTTTCTTTTGACCACTCTGATCAGCAGGTCTTAGTCTGATGGAAAAGAGTTAAGACTTCTTCAAGGAAACTATAAAATTCAAGAGCTCGAGAGAGGCTTTTGAACGAAGACTCGGAAGTAGTTCCTCAAAAGAACATCCAAGACGTTTCAACTTAGTGTAAACCTTCAATGAATACAGGGGGAATGTTATACCTTAGAGGGAAGCGGATATTTTTCCTTGTGTTTAACTTCCGGCTAATAAGAAAATTGGTCAGTATTGGGACACAGAACGCTCATGCAGAGTAGACCTTCACTATCTATCTTTGTTTGAGCAACAGAAGTCATATCGCAATGGCAGAAATTTGGGGACACACTTTTACACCACTGATGCTAGAATCCAGCTACTGTATTCGGTCTCGATTGTCTCATGGTAACAGCAACTAAAACCGGCGCACGAAAGTGCATGGTTAATGGTTGTTCAAACTGAACATGGTAACGTGTCCGACCCACAGCCCAACGGGTAAGGGTTGACGCTATCACAAACTCAGAGAATGCGAGTATAAACATATATTGATAATAGCACTGTTGAATAATCCTCAAAAGGTAAAACATCTGTCGTGGGATCGACAGGCTTTCCGGCGAGACGGATGAGAAGAACAATTGTTCAAGTTTACTGGTGTGTACATAGATGCACCCTACTCCGAAAATCAAGCCTCTTCGGTTTGAATCACAGCGAAAGAGAAAGTTTACACATATCTTCCATTCCTGTAAATATACATTACAAATTAAAATCACTTTGCATTATCAGTTTTGATCGTCAGTTCCTAAAGGGATCGCGAGAGCTACTACTTGAGCTGTAAAACAATCCCACTGAGTCATAAACCTTAGGGTTGAGTACTAACATTATCGAGTTGAGATTACAACGAAAAGCTTACAACGATGGTTCGTTGTATACAGCACAGCAAAAGCGAAACAATTTAATCAACTAGCCCGTTGTTCCAGTGAACGGTAAAATTGCGTTTTGCCTACTTTTTCCCGTGCTCGAACCCAAGGTGTGTCGATGAAACTCAAATTAATTGAAACAATTGTGCCTTCACGATTCTCACTTCAAGTTTCTTTTGTTCCTAATATAATCTAATTACAACCTTCACTAGTCCATCGTACACTGTCAGTGGTCCTTGAACACATCCATGGTACTCCGTGTGGTTCAGCACTGTTCACCTTCTTCCTCTCTTAACCGTACTCTGCTTTGCCATCTTCATTGTACATCAATCAGTTCAAAGATAATTATCTTTCAGGTTTGCCTTTCCTCGTCTCCATGACACCAGATAGTGTTTGCTGCAAGGCCCTGTTGCATCCAGGGAGTTAATTATCGGCCCTAAAAGGAGTCAGTATTGATTAAGTTTCGGTGTTTATTCAGATGGTCTATTTTAATTTTCAATGGGGATCAATTTTCAACAGTTCATTCACTTCGTTCCTGCCTACACTTCTCATTAGATCGCGAAAAAATCATACAATGCCATTAGGTGATCATACTGAAATTTTTATTCTGCAAAATCAAGTTGATTTCCCCAAAACTCTCTTTGAAAAATGAATGTGAATTGCTAATCTGTGAGAAACGTACCGTAAATGAAGGATCATTTTTATTGGTGGTGAGGCAACAAACTTGGAATAACCCATGTTGGCTACAATAGAAATGTCATTTCCCTTACATCATTTAACGATACTTTGGAACTGAACTACGGTCTTTTTGGTTATATAGTTTGAGGAAACTATGGATTGTTTAGAATTTTCAGGTTTTCTTGTTCCCACATCAATTTATTATATTGACTCATGGGTTGCAGGTTGCAATCTCCATAGCCTTAATTCTAGCACCACATCTTTGTATTTTCTGCCATTGTCCCGGAAACAGACTATACAAGTCTCTTCCGAATAAAAGAGATTGGTGAAATGCTACGACTATGATTGTTTTTAAAAAAATTGAAATATAAAGTTTGGTTAATATCTGAGGCAAGACGACAAAATTTCACGTTACTCCAGGGATCGACGTTGCTAATCTTTTCTCTCCCACGCACTCCCAGGAAATCTCTTGATTTTGGATAAACATTTTGTGTATCGCATAACTGTTTGCTTTAAGATATCTTGTGACCTTTGACACGAACCAAATCACGTGTATATCTGACCTTAAGATGGACGTTGCACACCGAATGTGCCCATAAATTGAATTCAACCAGCCGATTAGTTTGAGAGGAGATTTGTTCCGTTCAAAAAAAATTATTTACTTTGATATTAGTATTGACCACTCCGGTGATTGGTGCATAGAACTTTCGTGTTATCTTCGCATAAAGCTTTTTGAACTATTTATTGCCCTCGAAAATAAATTTCGTTGTGTTAAATGGTACTGACAAATAAAATTATGAAAAGTCATGCCCTGGAGCAGCCAGACCAATGGAAGTGAAAACCAAACCTACCCTTGTCTACATAACCATGAGTCAGATAACTAGCGGTGGTGCTTACCTAAATGGTTTTGAATTTTTAAAATTCATATTTATCTCCTTTTTGTTCGTGATTAATGTTTCGGCAACTCTGCTTACCCATGTGTATGTTGATTGACACAACGATACGATATACATTCAAAGAGGTATGTTCGAAGTTTAAAGCCTGGACGGGGCAGTAGGTATGCACTACTATTCAGATAAAATAAGAGGGAAATGCATATCCAGGGCTTCCCTAGGGTATGATTCATGGGACTGGACTAAGAATAGTGTGTGCGCAGATGGAGCTTGATTCATGGTAACTCCAAATAACTTCTATCTTTCTCTTTTATACCGCACTTAGAATGCGTTTTATATTCGATCAACTGATGTGGCCAGTAATTTAGAGTATTTTTTACCAGTAGTTAGATATTTGTATTCGGAGCAGTGAAGGACCTTCTCTTTTGTCGGATTTTATTGTATTCAATGAACCTTCTTCTTAACACGACAACAACAGCCCTTAAGGATAAAAAGGAGATTTAAGAACGGCTGGAGGTAGTATAATGGCCACACCAATTCAGAAACGTACTTCAAATCTTGATAGATAGAGAAAGGAACAATTAGCACTGCTAACCGTTTGTTCTGTTCAAAATGACAAATTCTACTATTTTTTGTTGATAACCTCCATCACTGTGGCTTAGCTTATCGGTAAACAAACAGTACCCATCCGCATGACTTTTGACTTCCGTGACTTTCGATTGGACAATTGATAAACATGTGGACGATTTTTTGCAGAGTTATTTTTTTCGTTCAAGTGATTCTTTTGATACACATTAGATTGATTAAATCTCATGATCATGAAGATCTACTGTAATCGATCACCTCGGTCTTGGAGCTTTGTTCTAGCAAACCTGTGGAGAATATGCATCGATATCAAACCATAGGACGATGCACCGGCCAACCGCCAAATATCACGTTTGTTCAATAATCTGTTCATCAGTTCACATGGTGGTCTCCTTTTCAGTTTTGTTTATATTATTGCCTCAGTCACGAAACAAAACACACCCAAAAAACCGGTCTACGCTAGTTTCAAAGGCCTCAAACATTGATAAGGAGCTGTTGTTTTCTTCAGGCTCACATGGTTTATAATTGTATAATCATTATTCCCGTCAAAACGCATTTGTCGTAATACAAAAGACGTTTAATCTTCTTCTCCTGTCCATCTAGGCTTTATTCAATTATATGAAGTTTATGGTAAAGTTTTTAATCAGGAGGTGCAGTAGAATTATCACATATATTGCACAAATTTGGAATGGCAAGTCTACCTTTGTAACCTATCTGTAGTACCTTTAGTGTAACCGCAGAATCTGTACAGCCATCTCCTTACACTTCCTTGAGGGCGATTTATTTTATCTGTACATTTGAATCAAGGAATGGCGGTAAGATTCGAATGTCGAAAGCAGTGTCCAGGAGAAATTAGATAGTTCTGGTGGACTAAGGTTGTAAGTATAATGAGAATAACGAGCGCTAATTTTTTCACGGCACTCAGGCGTAACACCCATTGAATCTACTAACTGCTGATATCTCAGGGTTGTGACATTAGCTATAAAATATTTAAAACGCATGTTAAAGTATCAACACATAAAAGAAAAAAGCATATACTAATCAGACATGGCTTTTCGTCGTTCACAGTGCAAATAAAGTGAAAGACTCAAGTTAAGAAGCACCGAACGGTCGTTTCGACCTGATTGGGTTTCATCAGCACTAGAAAACCATTGAATACAACGAGTAGCGAATTCAGGACCTCCTCGGTAGAAAGCAAGCATGCTATCTACCTGACCACCGCACAGTTAATCAAATCGCTTTTCATTTTGTATCTATACGACATAACAACATCCACCACTTCAGGTTTATTACTAGTTATTATTATTATTATTATTGTGCTTTGGGACATATGGCAAGGCTTTTGCCTCCATTCTTAAAGATGATGAATTACGTAATACACTGGGATTTTAACACGGTCAGCTATCAAATTTTTGGGACAATCTACATTTTTAACCCACCAATCCTATCTGTACGCCCCCCCCCCTCTATCCTTTTATTTTTGTAAAAATAGGTGCATTTTATGGGATAACACAAAAATCAGTTGCCATCTCATCCCTTATTTTTTGCTCAATCCGGACGGTTTTTCTTTAGGCAATCAATTTTTTTGGATAATCATTCTCACCTGAAGCACATTGTACAATATCTGATGTTCATATTTCTTGACACCCAGTGTGACTTGAAACAATTCGTACAATTGTTCCTTGCTCATAACAACCTCAGGTTGCGGGACTTGAAGTTTTTGTAGTACTGTTGACGGTCCAGCTCCTCCACGACAGATCTGATCAAATTTGACCATCCACGCGCTGACCACATTGGATTTGTTCAAACCTTCGATTTGGGGCAGACATCGAACACGATGCTCACTATTCAAACGGAACACTTCCCGAAAATCATGCATCGAACAGCCCCCACCGCGAACCATACTGGCGACACGATCGCTACGCAGAAACACCTTCCGTATTAAAGAAAAATCAGTAAAAAAGCACGAAATTGGGACAGAAAACATTGAATGAGCATGGATATTCACAAAGTCTTGTAATAAATTGAAACAAAAAGTGTGAAATGATGTATTCTCGAATCAAAGGTCATTTTAACGAAGTAACGCTCCAATATATTTATGTTTGTATCAGAAAGGCCAGGGGTTAATGACTATTTTATTTCAGCAAATTCAAACATTTCTCTCACTGTTGATATGAACACAAATAAAAGTGGACAGACTAATTAATGCCGGAATTCATCTACTTTCGTCACAAATATATAGTTTTATCAAGTTGTATGGAATTGAGTGTTGGGCTTGCTTCGAAAACGGACGCTTTCATGACAGCAAATCGTTTCGTCAACGATGCAGCTTAACTGTTTTTGACATATAGGAATCACACCTAGCTAATTGCAGTTCAATTGAACCACTAAACCAACTCCTAATTTGGCGTTTCTCTTTTACTTGCATGTAGATAATTCTTGCAGTATCGTTTTGTTTGTTGTGCTTTTTGCCATTTTAAATATTCATGTGACTCAGTAATTACGGATCTCATCATAATAAATTTAATACGCTGGCACTGATCATACAATACATACAGAAACGAAACTCATAGCAGTACATCGCAGTGTCCGACATTTTACAAATCCATTTCCCGTAATTCAAGATATCGTTCACATCCGCACTTATTGTTTTAGACTAAAAGTAAACTGACCGAAATATATTCCAATTAAAACAAAATAAATGGTGTAATATAAACCAAAATAACAGGTTTTTAAAATGCTTTTCATAGACAATTAATCTACTTTGGCATGTAATCATACTTGTTCAAATGTCCAATTATCAATAGATAGAATGCTCCCGCCCTGGATTCATGATAATACAACCTTCTACCATCGAAACTTATTTTATAACCAGTTTCATAACACGAAGTTACTCAGATAGAACGTCATAGTTACCTAGGTCTACCGCGAGTTATGAAAATAAGTCTTACACATTGTTAATATGAGAAATATAAATAATGATATGCCAGACATTTCCATAATTGTAATATCAACGGCTTTCAATCAGATGGCTTATTAGTTACAGAGGAGATATATGAACACATGGATTAGAGGGCGAGTTGCTATATAAATTCTGTTTCACGAGGTTCCCCGCTTTTTGGACATAGTTTGTGAATCTAAGCCTTTATGAATAAATTTCTCAATGGATTTCGCCAACTCTAAAGAGGTGATTTTCAAAAGATTTTCTTCAGAATCGCCTTCTCCCCCCTTGGCTTGTGCAGCAATATCGGTAAGGTTAAAAAATCTCTAGGATAAAAGAGATTTCGAAAAACGCACAGCGCAGTGCTAGAAAAAAAATACTAAAGAAACGATTGAACGCATCGCACTCAACGCAGCAGTCAAAAAGTGTAGGCTCATTACAAATGAATCCATTAAAACGATATTTGAATTTCGACAAAGTGTGACTCAAGTTAAACTAGAAAAAGATTTTCTGGTCACGTAAAGGTTGTTGTAAAGTTTGTTTAAAACAGTTTGACTAGCAAATAAGTCAATCATTGAAGACTACTCCGTCTCAGCTGATCTTCAACCGACTATTATTTTCACTTCACACCTTCGTTTTCAATCGATCGCAAATATTGTGACAAAAAGTGATCCGTACCTGAGCACAGAAATCACTTTACATTTAAAACTACTTGTTAGTTTGATTTCCGCCAACACAGTGGTAGAAACTGTTCTTACTTCCTGGATGGGGATATAGTCAAGTGCACGAAATTGAGTATGGACCATAGGACCAACATTAGACGTATAGTCCAGTGTTCATTTTGCAATCGTACTATTGATTTTATGAAATAAGATCACTCTGGACTGCTTACACTTGCATGCACGCATAATGACGCCCGCTTTCTTATTGATCCATAGTACCATTGTGCGATCCCAAAATCACACTGTTCATTCATATTTTGAATTGTTTTTTGATGGACCGCCACCGATTAGGCGGGAATGTTCAAATTTGCTTAACTGAACGATTTAAGTTTCAATCTATGCAAAGTTGGTTTGATTGGAACCAATACACATTCACTGTATTCTGTTTCCAGATGCAAAACAAATGAATAACATATTCATTAGGAAGCAATTAGCAATTGGGAAAGAGATTGTAGAACTTGATTCTCAAATTCTTTCCTTCTTTTTTCTTTCTATATACGTAATTCTCTTAGAAAATTGAATACAACCAACTCCTTCTTAAATTACTACATTAATCTGTCATTGTGGTTCTCTATCCGATTCTAACGTAAATCTGAATAGTCTTATAGAATAAGGGAACAAATCCTGAATGCCTCTGTGTGATGGAAAAATTTTCAGTAGAGCAGTGTTTTTAGTTCTAAGTATTCCAAGGAGATAGTTGATTCAGATAAGCCAAAGCGATGGTCACTAATGCGTCAAGTCCGAACCAACATGTTTGAAAGTCCTCTGTGTCACACTATCCACTGTGTTCAAGTGGTCATGAGCTTCTTTTTAGTTGTCTAACGTCATTGATATTGGTCAATTCCACTAGGATGAGTAAAACACCTTGTTTTGTTTTTCGGACACCCGAGCAAATACTTAACTTCGCTTGGTAACTTATTCGGTTTTCTTGACGCTGTTCCGAATAGCACACAATTTTACTTACTTTCCACTGCGCGTGAACCCATCCAATTAAGTCGATGAGTTTAGCCTAAAATCCTTCGAATTTATTGTTTTTACACTTGTGGACAACTGAATACAGATGCAAAGTGTTGATACTCGTAAACGGGGGAAAATAAACTTCATGCTTGTGCATGGGCGGTGGTGGTCCGGTGGAAACTTCACCAAAGTTTCATCCCGGGGACGGGTGTTCGAATCCCACCACCACCGCCAGCTAATTTTCCCCATTGTGTGAATGGCAGCCCTTTCATTGACCGCTTCCCCCTTCCTGAAAATTGTATTTGTATATGCAAAAAAAGGAAGTAAAATGAAAAATGAAATGAAATGAGATAATAGACCGAGGAAGAATCTACATCAGTCAGTGGACAGAAGCAGAACATGACCATTCCACGAACACTGAAGGTACTCACTCAAGTGACGAATAAACTCAATGCAAAAGTTGAGTATCATAATCTGCAGTAGGTATGTGTTCACAGTTGGGAACTATTTTGCATTTTGAATTAAAGGAAACCAAAATTTGACTGCAAACTGCTTGCACTTTTTCACACAGAACCATTAAGTAATTTAATTAGGTTACCGTCAATGTAGTCGGAAAACTACGTCCCCATTTTAACCGGGTTCTTTGTATTCACCCATGCTACTAATCACTGAATATCTGAACTTGTCCGTTCTCTTCTCGGGGTCGTATCAAAGGGGCGAGGATGGTCTGGGCGGAGCGGTTGAGATGCGCGTT